CCCAGGAATATTCCTGGTACCCATTTCTGTTAGAGGCTGAGTCGACTCGAGGGCTAAAATGGGGCTGGAAGGATTAGGTCAGCTGAAAAAAAATGCAATGACGTCATCGGAAATCGAATCCGCGACCTTCTGGCTTGTAGCATAGTGATTCAATCAACTACGCTACCTTCCCATGTCATATTTTTTGCTTATTCCTAATAACATTAACCATTATATACTGTTTTATGATTTGTATTAGTCCGTCTCCCCTAATTCCAAGATCAGGCCGCGCCATGGCTCCAGCGGTTAGTCGCTGGCTTCCCACCGCGGCGGCCCGGGTTCGATCCCGGGTCTGGTCAAAGTGGCGCTAGGACGGGTTTTCTCCGAGTATTTCGGTTTCCCCTGCCAATCTTCATTCCACCAAATTCTCCATCATCATAATCACCCGCGGCAGGTACAATAGGCCAATCAGTGGCCGCCGTGCCGAATGGACCCAGTTGGACTCCACCCCCCACTAAGCGAATTAAAAAAACTCCGAGATCAAGTTTATATATACCTTAATTTGCTTCACAATATCTTACACCTAGTGGCATTTTAGCTTCAATTCCGCCAACAACGGAATTTAGTGCTAAGTAAAGTGCCCCCACTCTACACAAAGACCTGCTGTGTTTCACCTATTACACAGCAACAGAAATCATCTTTTGTCGTTCCACGAATTTGTGACGAAGACTGTTGAAATCAATGACGCCTACAATTTCCCCTCGATATTTAACAAACACTTTAGTAGTGATGAATTTTGTTGTGCAGCGCCGCGGCCGGTTTGAGACCAATGTAGCCGAGCGCTGTCCAAACATCAGACGCCTCCAAGGTAAACAAGAGAATGAGGGAGCATGAGAATTATGGGCCCGTTAATTTGCCGACGCGTGACGTCCTATAAAATGCAAGTTGTCAGAACAGCTCTGTCTGCCTCTCCGAGATACTCACCTCCCATCGCGTCTAATGGTTTTAACAAAATAATTTATTTGTCCATAACTTACTTCGTGTTTCCTCTTTCTAACACCAGAATGACAGTTACATTCGCGCGCACTGAAACAGAACTGATAAGGAAAGCGGTTCTGGCTTCTTTAACATCGCCGTTGAAACGTGTCCATCTTCCATTGTCCTTTAGATTCCTTGGCTTCATGCATAACACATGGCACATGGCAGTGAGTTAACAGGGGACCCAAAAGATGGCGTGGTGGTGAACATACAGGATTACACATGGAGTTGAGCCCTTCTTGAGGTGCCGCCAATTCTGCAGCTACTCAAGAATTTCCCAATATTTTATGGAACCCGAAGGTTCATTACCGTGTTCACAAGAGCCCACCACCGGTCCCTATCCTGAGCCAGATCAATCCAATCCATACCATCCCATCCTATCTCTCTAAGGTCCATTTTAATATTGTTCGGACACCTACGCCTTGGTCTTCCCAGTGGTCTCTTTCCTTCTGGTTTTCCCACCAATATCCTATATACACTCCTCTTGAACATGTAGGATAATTTATGTAATTCTATTTGAGAAAATATTGTGGCATTTAGATCCGTTGCTAGGCAACGACAAGTGAAATAACTAGAAAGCGGCCGTTACTAGGAAAATGCCTGTAAACTGCAAGCGTAGCCGTGTTTTCTGTGCGGTCCGTGCCGAGATATAAAATAGAGTCAGTCAGTGGAGAGCCACCCCGTGTGGAGGCGGGGTCGAATACCTCCACCGTGACCCTGCGAGTCATAGGAGGCGACGAAAAGGGAAGTCTCAATTCTGAGACAGTAAAATATGGTCGCAAGTCCCAAGGGACTCTGACCCGAGTAAGACTGCGCTGGCAAGGACCAGCAGCATATAATAAAGACAGACCCATCCTCTCGTCAGAGAAGGCGCACCACAGATACAAGACCGTAACTGTCAAACGGTAATAATTAATATGACTTACTGACTGACTGACCGTCAGTCGCAATGTGACTTTGACTTTGACTTTTACAGTGGAGTGGTTTTGGTTGGTAAGTGAATGAGTTAGTAAAGAGAGTTAGTTGGTTAAATGAGTGAATAAGTTTAAGAGGACTTCTGCGCTACAATCGTTGTGAGCTGTTGCTGTTAGAATCTGTTAGGCCGAGGACTGTTCGGAAACCCAGAGGAAGTGGAACGTCCAACGTCGAAAGCCGCTACCAGGCAACGAGTGGTGAAGGCACAGCAGACTGAGAAGACTTAAGTGTGTTTTCGTTAACTGCAAAGTGTGCGAATTAGTGAAACAGTTACAGTTTCTTGTAGTCCAGTAAACCAGATTACCAATCCAAAGCCCTTCTGTAGTCACAGTAACACACGTGACAGTATTATTACTATAAAGACAGACTTGTCCTTGCAATTAATTATCAGATCTGTTGTAGTGCAGTTAAGTACGGTTCGTCGCATTCTTAACCTCCCGAATACAAGTTTACAGCGTTACCAATTCTGCTGTCTTCTCGGTTAAAGTTCTTCAAGTACGTTAAGATGTAGGACAATTTGAATTCAAAATGTTCTTTGACGTAATTTGTATTCAGCGAAATCGCCCTGCAACTAAAAATAACGTGCCGATATATTATAATATCTGTGCTGTTTGTCAGCTTTGTAACAACGGACTGGAACCTGGAACGAGTTAACTTCAATGCACAATGTGTTATGTAAACGCGCAAAGAACGCATTTTCAGAAACACGCATATGAACGCTTAGTATGTTATACTCCACTAGATGACACATTCGACTTTTGTTAAAAGGAACACAATTCCACTCATAGTTGCCCGAAGACACTCGTCTCCAATTCCTATTAAACGAATCGTGATGGGCAGCCTCATAAATAGAAATTCATAGCCGCACAATGCTTGTCGTACTCACGGTAGTGAGAATAGTCACAAATGCGATGATAACAATAATGGCTCCCTCCCCAATTCGTACACAAAGCCCTGTGATAATATTTACCTTAACTTTATTGTGCTGTGGACGTGTGAAGTGCGTTGGATACAGTCACATGGCAGGCTTTTCCCCCCCTCCCTTCTCCAAGCTAGTAGTCCTTTGTGTCCATTATTTCGGCTCAGAGAATTCGATTGGACGACGCTTCGTTCTATATAAACGCCATTGCTCTCATAATTGACCCAACATGGCTGCCACAGCTTGTCCACCAATCAAAACATCAAGAAGCTGAGTAGCAATTGTAAGAATTTAAAACGACAGATGTAGGCTCTATTCCAAGTTACGAGTCTCATGAATTAGACATTCCTTTCTGCTTCTGGCTCGTCAGACAGAGACAGATGCGTGTACTTTGTGTTGAAATGGAACGAGAAGAAAAGGAGGAATGGATTAAAACGCCATGACAGCAACCTGAATTGACTCTTAGTAGAATAATGTCTTAAGCATCTGATTCTGGTTTTTTGCAGAGTAATTAACAGAATAAGTCATCCATCTGACTGAATGATAGATCAAATATAATATGTGATTGATTGGTTCTTATGTTACCTGACGTACCTCGGATTTCTATTTGATCTCAGTAGAAGACGAAGCTTGAAATGGAATTATTATAAACGATGAGTGAGTGACTTGTATTTAACGAATTATTGGTTGTTTATTTGGTTGATGGTTGATTTTTTCGAAGGTCATCTAACATCTGTAATAACTCCTGAACTTATGCAGCATACAAAGTTAAATTATAGAAAGACTAGATACCCGGAAAATTATTGATTTAATCGTATGATTCCTCGTGTATCTCCATTATCGGTAGGATTGTGTAGGCTACAAACCTGAATGACACAATGATTGCATCTGATTAACCCTTGAAAGCACATTGATTACTATATGTGCCACTGTTCTAGGATTCTGACATTCAAGCTCTGAGAACTACGATTTTTCAAGACGTAAAGGTAAAGCTATCCTTGTAACAGGCCATTGAGGCCCATAGGGTTGTGAGACGTCGAGGCTCCCACATTTTCTAGACAATCGGCTCACAGAAGACGGTAAGGTTGTCAGCCGTATGCGCAGGCCGCCCTTTATCCCCCAAGAATATTCCTGGTACTCATTTCTGTTAGAGGCCTGATTTGACCCCAGGGCCATAGTGCGGCTGGAAGGATTAGGCAAATTAAAAAAATCCACCACATCGGGACTCGAATCCGCGACCTTCCGGCTTGTAACATAGTTCCTCAACCAACTACGCTACCGAGTGCCCGAGTGTACGTGTTTCTTATGCTTCCCATGAAAAACCGTGACTGTTTCCCTAAGTTGCATTCGTGATTATGTGGTGTGTATTCTGTAAAAGAAGGAACTGAATTTTTTGAATATTTAAACTTGTATAATGCTCCAAGTGGTTAATTTAATATAGCTGTAATTGGCTTATCTGTTATTTTTATTTTTCCCTTTATGGTTTGTTTAACGACGCTTGTATTGTAGGATAGTGTCGAAAGGCAGGAGAATTAATGATCCGTGTATTAGGAAAGATGCAGTTAAAAACGTCATGGCCTATTTTAAATCACTATCCCCGTATTCGCCTGGAAGGACCGAGAAAACCCACGAAAAACCCAAGTCAATCTAATCGGCATCCATGTTGAGTCTCGATCAAGGCACCTGCCTTGTTTACATCAGTTACCTTACTGCTCGAGCCAGTTTGCTCAGTGATTTGTGTGTCAGTCACTTGCTGACCTGCGTAGTGCTGACAGCCGAGCGATAACAGCGCAGTCGGCATAGCGACTGGTTACTGGCTGGACGACCGTGGTGTCGCAGTTCGAGTCCCGGGAGAGACAAAAATTTTCTCTTTTCCACGTCGTCCAGACCGGATCTGGAACCCACGCAGCCTCATATACAATGGGTACCGGGTTAAAGTGGGCGGAGCATGAAGCTGACACCTAACCTCCAACTAATACCGAGGTCAAGAATGCGTGAACCTATACGTCCCCTCCCCCATACGTCCACATGACGTAGTGCTTAATTAGATACAGTGACAACTTTACCTTTTTGCTTTTATGGTTTCTAGCACCGTCGGCAGACCCGAAGAGAACAGAAGTCAGCAGTGGGATAGACAGCCTCACATTTGCCGGCTCGGCGTGGTCCTGGTGTCCCAACAGTGTGTATTAATTTGAGAGATGAGGTAGTGGTAAGCCTGCTGCAGGTTGGGGAATCTAGCCTCACAGTTCCATTGTTTGCCGTAGGTAAGGATGGTTTGCATGCTCTGCCACCATTTCCCCTCCTCCTTAAACATCTGAAGTTAAAATATTTACTTCTAGCAGTGCTTAGGCTGAAAATGGAGGTTTGGTAATGAAATTAACTAAGAAGTTAGCATGGAAAGCTTCACCTTCCACTTTTACATGAAATAAGAAAAATAATGCAGTTGCAAGCTGCTTGAAACCAAACTCTTTTCTTTTTCAAAGAAAAAATAAAAGATACGTTTTGATATTCCTAGTGGTCTCCTTCCTTCCGGCTTTCGTGCCAATGTCCTATATGCATTCCCCCTCTCCCCATTCGTGCTACATGCCCTACCTATCCCATCCTCCTTGACTTGACCATTCTAATTATACTTGGAGATGAGTACAAGTTATGAAGTGTCTTATTATGCAATTTTCTCCAACCTCCCGTCACTTCATCTCTCTTCGGACCAAATATTCTCCTAAACACCCTGTTCTCAAACACCCCCAGTCTTTGTTCCTCCCTTAATGTCAGAGAACACCAAGTTTCACAATCATACAGAACCACAGGCAAAATTATAGTTTTATATGTTCTAATTTTTTATGTTTTTAGACACCAGACGAGAAGACAAAAGGTTCTGGACTGAATGGTAGCAAGCATTACCCGAGTTCATTCTCCCCTTAATTTTCTCCTGAATCAGGTTTTCATTTGTTATCGTCGTCCCCAAATAGCTAAATCACACACACACACACACACACTTCGGAAAATATTTCGTTAACATACGTATGAATCTAACATAATCATTGCACTGTAATTTTTTCAGCACTCTGGCTCTGTTCGTGCCACGCCTCCTGCTTCACGCTAATTCCTGTATTGGACGTATCGGTGTTTGGCACTTGCTGACACTGCATGCCCGGTTCCCTGTGACTCTTCGCCCCGCTGTTTGGACTGCAAACAGGATTTGCCAGCCCACGTTGTTTTCTCTGCACACAGCAGCTGGACCCTGTCGGATTAGTGCGTTCGAATCCCTTGGTGGGTCGTCCGGCAAATGAAGATGACCGCCAGGCTAGAGTGGTACATCTCCAGCCACAGAACATGGCAGTAGCGCTTTATGGCAACACGAAGAACTTGACAGAGAAGAAACAGTACAGATTCGGCCGCTAAAGTCGTTCCAGGATTATTTACGTTGATTTCAAAGTAAGAATAAAATGTAAACAAGTGAAGTTGTCCCTGTGCTTAATTAATTAAGCACTACGCCATGAAGGCGTATGGGGGAGTGGATGTGTAGATGCACATTTTCTTGACATCAACACTAGTTGCAGGTGAGTGGTCAGCTTCACGTCCCTACCACCTTACTCCCGGGAAAGAGCCCATGGTACCCATTGGATAGGAGGTTGGATGGGCTCCAAAGCCGGTCTAGACGAAGTGGAGAAGAGGAAATTCTTGACCATACCGGGACTCAAACTCCGACCCCTGAGTCATCCAGCCAGTCACTGTACCGACTAAGCAATCCCGGCTCCTACAAAATAAGGTTGACACTTAAAAATGTTTTAGAGTCATATTTTGTATGTCATATTTATTGTTTGGTTATGTCATGATGCCCGAAAGACTGAAACTTATTGTAGACTTTTAACGTATTTCTATGAATAAACCCTGTCGACCGAATCAAAAAATAAATTAGAAAGTGACAAGTATTTGTAATTGTGTTTCCTTGTAATCGGCCTTGCAGTGTGGTAGGGGAACAAGGGTATTCAGAATACAAAGCGAGGGGGTCCGAAATTGGGGTTACGAGAACACTTTTAATATACCGAACCGATTGGCCTACAGGTAATGCTCTAGAATTGCATGCGGGAGGCGGTGAGTTCAAATATCAGCCAGAACACCACATCTTCTGATGTTTCGGCCGCTTTCTCTAGGTCCCTCCAGAAAAATTCTGGTATATCTCGATTTTGCCAAGGTCACTCCCTTCCAGATCCTTTCCAATTCATCAGTCATCCCACCATCCTACTCTATAGTCTACATAATCAACTATCTATGGCTCTATAGCCCTTTATATTACCTTGGCTGTCCCTTCAGTTTCTTAATCCTATACACAGACGGTAGGACTCCTTGGACGAGGGATAAGTCCTTCTTAAGTCCGCTACCTACACACAGGACAACACAAACACAAAATAGACACACGCAGACATCCATGTCTCCAGTGGGATTCGAACCCATGATCCCAACTCGAATGATATTTCTAACCGCGACAGTGTGAGCATCAGCTTGATAGCCTCCACACACTTGCCTGCTAGGAGAGTGCGAGGTACATTCATAGCCTCCACACACTTGCCTGCTAGGAGAGTGCGAGGTACATTCATAGCCTCCACACACTTTCCTGCTAGGAGAGTGCGAGGTACATTCATAGCCTCCACACTTGCCTGCTAGGAGAGTGCGAAGTACTTTCATAGCCTCCACACACTTGCCTGCTAGGAGAGTGCGAGGTACATTCTGCTTGCCGGCGGCTCATGGAAACAAAAACATTAACAAATGTACAATCGATCACTCTTCTGATGTACAGAAGAGCAAGCGCCATACATTTCCAATCAGAAACTGGCTCGATGCTGCGACAATTCGCCCCTACAACACATCGCCCGCGGGGAGAAACGCTCACTTAATTGCATCCCCATTCCGCCCATGTTCGTAAACATGGGCGGAGGAGAAAGAGGAGGGACTGTTGAAAAAAAAAACAACAATCGCATCTGATGTCTGTACCGAGCAGTTATTTATATTACCTATAGGCATTTTAATGAAGCCAGTCAGTAGTTGTTCCTCGATAAATTATTATATTGCTTCTATCTACGTGATTTTTTTGTAGCTTCATGTGAAGCAAGTAAAGTGTTCTGTATATAAGTAATGCATATTCGGTGGTGTGGCATGTACGTTATTCTGTGCTTGTCTATCGTGCAGGGGCGTTGTTTTGTAAATTTAATAATTCCGTTCTGCTGCTCAAGAAATAAAGGTCTCAGTAGTTCTCTGTTCTGAAACATAACGCATGTAGTCCATTTAAACTCGACAGATATTGAAGTTTGATCGGCTAATTAGCTTTATACCTGAGAAACAATGATAAATGTCATTATTATGATATATCTCTAGCAATATTTTTTTACACTGTCGTTTTCACGGTTCAAAACGCAAATCTCCGTTTTCCTGTTGTTGAAGAATCGTTTAGACAGTGTTTATTGTCATTTAATAAATGTGTCACTTTTCGTGGTATTCGTGTACCTTGTAGGCATTGCCTATGCATGCATTTTCGCTTATGTTTCACTGCTCAGTCATGAATTATTGATATGTTTCAATTAAGGTGTTGTGTCCATGACATGGCCTGCGGTTTACGCTCTTCCATGTACCGGTCACTCTAATATCATAAATTTGCATATTGAAACAAGTATCCCCCCCCCCCGAACCGAGCAGGTTGTTAATGGAAACGCTCTAGACCCGCGTACGAGTGACATGAATCGCATTTTTCATGTTTCTTGTGGTTTTGTCTTTCTGAATAACGCGATTTATTTTCTATCGTTCCAAATCTCGCAATTCATAATCGTCTCATTCGACTTTGACCGCCTCTGTGGTCTAGTGGTTAGAGTTCCAGAGCCCCCGGGTTCGATTCCCTGCGCTACCAGATTTTCTGAGAAATAGTGGTTCTGGAACGGGGTCCACTCTGTCTCGTCAGGATAAATGAGGAGCTCCTTCAAGGAAGTAACTGCTCTGGTCTGGAAAACAGAGATTAACGGCCGTGGGAATCCGTTGCGCTGGCCACGTGACACCCTCTATCCGCTAAAGTTAGCACTAACTTCGCCGACAAGCGACGGTCGCTCGGTCGGTATAGTTCGCTTACGGACTAAAGCCACCAAGTTTTTGTTTTCATTCGACCTTCCTACAGCAAAAAACTGTGCTTGAAACAGAGTCATTAAATAACCTATAAATCGGTTTAATATGATACCAAGGGAGTAAGTCTTGCGAAGGTAATTTGAGATAATTATAGATGAGAAATAAATACAATTCATGGACTTTTTCTGTGAAAATTAGCTTGAATAATAATTACGAATTATTTACAGAAATTAATAACGAGCTCCCATAACACCTACTTTTCTTCCTAAACTCATGAATGTACCAATATCTGCAAATTATGTAACCTAATGACCCAGTTATGTGCAGAATTTCCACTGGTGCAGTTTTTCCTTATGTTACATCTGTCTGATATCACTTCAAAGCTTTGCACAAATAACATGTTCTTCACTCTGAAATGTTATGATTTGTTTTCATACAGAATTTCACTTTCCTAGCTACATTGGATCGTTTCCACGAAACAGAAAGCTAATTGTAGATTTCTCACGGCCCAAGCATTCTTGCTTTATATTCCCTACAGTGTTGTCTTATCAAAAGTTACATGTTCGTCGAAATTGTAGTCCCTATTGACCTAGTAGCTACAGGAATTTCACGTAGGATATTAAGTGGCGCTAATGACGTATGTATTTTCAATTTCTCACAGACAACATAATGGTAAAACTATTTCACGATATGAAATTAGAACGTACAGATACGAAGCGGCTACAAATAGTGTGATATTTCAGCTAAATTTACGAAATATACAACTTATTTACTTGACCTTCACAACACAACAATAAAAGAACTTCGAGGACAATACCCAGATATAGTTCTGCAGGATGCATGAAATGAAAATTTACGAAAGTTCTTCAACTTTCCCACTCCTGTCATAGTATATTTCTTTGAAATAAATTGAACGTCTTCATCCCAATGATCTGTTTTTATTTTACCTTTCGGCCGATACATTCAGATAACATTCACACAATGTGAAATTGAAATCTGAAATGAATATTGATATAGGCTTGCTGTAGGACCTGTTTGTATTCAGTCACGTCGACATGCATTATTTTTTCAATAAATCGTAGTTAAATTATCAAAATAATTGATAATTTTAATACGTAACTGTGTACGGCCCGTTTTCTGAAACGAAGAAAGTCCAAATGATTTTGTGTGGCTGTATTCAATCTACAGATACAAATGTATCCTTGCACAGCCGTCCACATTATTTCAAGTGAGAAATTAGTTGTCACTGAATTTTGTTAAATGTTAGCCATATCAAAAATTACTTCGGAATGAAATAATTACTCTTTATTATAGGATGTTATGTTGTATAATAATTAATATAACAATAAGTAGTTTTTTTTTATAAAATCGGTACGCTTCATTTTGAGTTTCCCGTAAAGCAGAATTTGTATTAACTAATACAAATCAAATTAACGCTGAAGAGTTCTATCTTCCGGAATATAACGCCGTGTAGCCTGGTGAAAGTCGGCCTAATTTTCGGGGCAGCATGTTGCCTCCACAAGAAACCAGCATGAGGCAGGCAGTATTGGCCTATTCTTCAGCCCTGAAGATGGGGGCGAAGTGTTCCTCCTGCACGTCTCTGTGTTCCAAAAATTTATAACTCTTAATTACCATCACAGTGAGAACCTCAAATCTTACAAAATGAAGTTTCCTCAACTTGCAGTCACCTATTGAAATTGAAGTACACGTTCTGCTTTTGTGACACGTTGTAAAATACCTTTCAGAACATTTTGTGCTAACCATAGCTCAGGCTACAGCCATAGCCTGCTTTTCGTCTCTATTCCCCTCATTATTATGCAATGTGCCGGTCACGGTAGCCGAGCGGTCCAAGGCATGCACTGTCTTCGCCCGCTCGGAAGCCGGGATCGTGGGTTCGAATCCCACTCAGGGCATGGATGTTTGTGTGCGTTTTTCTGTGTTTGTGTACAGGTAGAGGCCTTGCGACGAGCTGATCACTCGCCCAAGGAGTCCTACCGAATGTGTAAGCTCTAGAAAATCCGAAGTGAACGGAAGTTCATGGAGGTAGGCCTTGGCCCAATGGGGCTGCAGTGCCGAGGAAAAAAATTATGCAATGTACAGTCCTGTCTGGATGTGCTTTATATCAACGTAAGCTTTCATTTTCAAATTTAATCCTGGACATAGTTAATCTGAAGAAGGGATGTGGAGTGGTGGTATATTACAGGAAGCTGTTGAAATGTTAATTATTAATTAGTGTTGGGATGCAGCAGGCGCGAGCTGGAAAATCCGCACGAGTGAGGACCGCCATGTCTGTATGCTAATTACCACCCCGGGCTCGTCCTGCCCTGGGAACACGGTGACTGGGTACAGAGGTGTTGGCACCACTTGCAGTGCAATCCCTCTGTGTGATCCCTGTTTCCTCTTAAATTACGTCTATTGTAGTCCGATTTTTTAATAATATACCTAATTTGCTGGCTGTACTGCAATTAGACTGTAGTAGATAAGCCTTACCACACTTTGTGAACTGTTGTCGCATGTGCGGATCGAGCAGGCTGGCTCAAGCAATGACACTTCGAAACTCGTTTGATAATTGGTTATCCTCTCTGATGCTTTGAGAATTTTTCCTCACTCCCTTCGGGAAAACGAGGAGATAATGCCTCAGTTTGGGTGAGGACTCATGCCGTCTGCAGCCTTTCCAGTTCATCATGCATCATTCGACACTACGTAATCTGAGCTATTGGATAACATCTTTGGGAAACCCACAAATGAGCTTAAACAGATATATCTCTGCATTTCGCCAAGCGTCACGATTCGAAGGTTTGTGGAGGCCGCACACCAACTGCGTCAAAACAAGCATCAAGACATGAAACAAATGACGCAGTCTTTGCTTCATTCGTCATTCGTCAGCAACATGACTCAGACCGGTGTGCGGCGGTTTTCATAATCTCATTCGTTTCAACTGTGCTCATTTCTTTGCGTCATGCCGCAGACATTGTGTCTTGACTGTTACATGTCTTGACGCATGCCGGTGTGCGGCCTACCTAACACTCCCGATTCCCGCACGTAGACTTACTAATTAAATTTTAATGAAGAAATGACCTGGAGCTTGGCTCTCTTCACTATGTTTTACCAAGTCATTATAGGCAAATTATAGCACAAGCAGTAAAATGAAACACTATCATATTCTACAGAATTATTCTAAGTTAATCTTTCATTGCCATTATCCCATTCGATGCCGTATAATCAGACTCATCATTACATAAATTATAAATCTAAACAGATTAGCCTTTCCATACTAATGTTGCTTATTCTAGAGAAGCACGACACCTTCAGTCTTGTTCTGATGTTAACAATTTCTTGCGTAACACGTCATTCAGTAACGTACCTTGAATCTTCCACTCTTCCGTGTGAATGGGGGGTGAAACTTACGAATAGAAGGCAAGAAATATAAAGAGACCTTAAAATGAGGACCACCATTGACTAATTTTGGGCTGCTACAAACCTTTCCCGAAAACGTCCTTGAGAGTGTATGATCATCAGGTAGTGACGCAGATCTATACATGATCATTAGAAAGTCATTAAATTATATTTTCAACATACGATATAACAAAAGTGCCCATACTGGAGGTCTCATTGAAAGCACAGTACTTCTCTTTTGTAAGGCTGCTTACTCAGGATATGACGTATCCTCACGCATGTTTTTAGCTGACAATACACGTACATTTAGCATGACTCACTAACCTCATGTCTCTGAAGACTGTGCCGGAGAAGTTTATGATTATGGTTACTATCTAATCAGAAGAGAAGACTGAAGGCCAAGAAGAAGCTGCAGTGAGGGCCCCTGGTCCTCCTGGTTGCGAGTTGGGCGCCGTGAATTTCTAACTCCGCACATAAACACTCTGCTATAGCTACGGTACTGCAACGGGTTGGATGAATCAACTCAGACAAGTGTATGGTATTATCTGTGACACTGAGACACACTTAAAGTATACAAAATCGGTCCTAATAAATAAACATTACACAGTATCTCAAAGAACTTAATAAATGTTGCACCAATTATAGAAGAAAAAGCTCCGTGACTTTAGTCCGCAAGCTAACTATACCGACCGAGCGACCGCCGCTTGTCGGCGAAGTTAGTGCCAACTTCTGCGGATAGAGGGTGTCGCATGGTCAGCGCAACGAATCCCCATGGCCGTTAATTTCGGTTTTCTAGACCGGAGCCTCTATTTCCTTGAAATAGCTCCACAATCATCATCACGAGGCTGAGTGGACACCGTTCTAGACCCACTACTTATCAGAAAATCTGGTAGCGCCGGGAATCGGACCCGGACCTCTGGATCTGTAGCCAAGAACTCTGACCACTAGACCACAGAGGCGGTTCACCAATTATAGAAATAAAAAATAATTCAAAAGGCTCGAAACTTTAGATTTGCCTCCGCTGGACTCTCGGAAAATTGGGCTCGCTTCCCGAAGGAGGGAAGGATTTTCTCTTCACCGCTAAATCAAAAATTCAGACTGGCCTGGGGCCCACCCATCTTGTATCACTTTGGGTACCAGCAGTCTTTCCTGGATGTCAAGACGCCAGAGCGTAATGCTGGCCACCAATCTCCATCTAGTGCCGAGGTTAGAGTGCTTAAAGCTATACCTTCTCTCTCACTCTCTCTCAAGAGATGAGACTGAGTTCACTTGGTACTGCAGCCACTGTTTGGCCTATTGTACCAGCCCCAGAAGATAGATAATGATGATTGTGGAGAAATCGGTTGAATGGGAATTGGCAGGGGAACCCGAAGTACTCGGAGAAAACCTGCCCCACTGCCACTTTGTCCACCACAAATCCCACATGACCTGACCCGAGCCCGAACCCGGCTCCCCGCGGAAAGCTATACCTTTACCCCGCCTTACGTCTTCATGACGTGATGCTGAATTAAACACATGAGACAACTATACGTTTTCCTCATGTTATAGGCCTAAGACACATACCCATATAGCTAACTCCATAGACCTGAGTTCTCCTTGAAAAGCCAATAGTTGCTTAGCCATTCAAGAAATTCGCTTCATTTTATGCAAACCGAAGATCCGTTAACGTGTTAACAAGAAACCGCCACTGGTCCCTATCCTGAGCTAGATGAATCCGGTTTACATTCTCCCATACTGTTTCTTTAACATCCATTTTAAAGTTATCCGCACATCTACGTCTGGCTTCTCCTTCCAAATGAATAATTAGTTGCTGTAATATTTACAGCAAAAACTTATGGAGACTTCAAGACTTGAGTTGCCGACAAAGAAGTTGCTTCCTGGGTTTTAGGGGAACGTTGGAGCGGCGTCTTCAGCAAAGGAAATATGCTGTAAGTCACAGAGAACAGGGATTAGAACAGTTGTCCGCATTGGGGCGAACCAGAGGAAACAAGGAAACACTGCAGGGTTAATCCCCGAGATCCAAACCCATAACTTACTTCATGACAACTGCTCCGTAAATTCACTATTACAAAACCCGAAGATTCATCACCATGATCACAAAAGCATGAGACTGGACCCTATCTAGGGCCACCTAATTCTCAGCTGGTCATGCAACTGTACAATTAGGCCTCTGTACATTCCATCTGTGGTCTGTAATAGTCACGATTGTGCAGTTACTATTCTAAGTACTGCTTTCTTAACTGTCACTCTTGAGTTTATACAGAGTATGTAAAACAGTAGCCGGTCACGGTAGCCGAGCGGTCTAAGGCATGCACTGTCTTCGCTCGCTCGGAAGACGGGATCGTGGGTTCGAATCCCACTCAGGGCATGGATGTTTGCGTGCGTTTTTCTGTGTTTGTCTACAGGTAGAGGCCTTGTGACGAGCTGATCACTCGCCCCAGGAGTCCTACCGTAGGTGTAAGATCTAGAAAAAACGGAGTTCATGGAGGTAGGCCTAGGCCCACTGGGGCTGTAGTGCCAAGGAAAAAATGTAAAACAGTAGAATTCTTTCAAGAAAACTGGGTGTTTTGAATTGACGGTTTTTGTACTAGCTTATTAGTTGTAAAGGAAGGCGAATGACTGTCACTCTTGACTACTCTACCTTTCTTTATTCCATACCTTAAAACTACGAAATCAATAACCGCTACAATAACATTTCAAGTAAACCTATTAGTTAAGGAATACAAGCAATCCACCAAAGGAAAAGTAATCTATTAAGAAATTCTAAAAATTGTAACTCAGTGAGGAGCTTCATAACTTGTACTCTTCTCGAAGTATAATCAGAATGATCAGGTCAAGGAGGATGAGATGGGCAGGGCCTGTAGCACGAATGGGGGAGACGGAGAATGCGAATAGGATATTGGTGGGAAAGCCAGAAGGAAAGAGACTACTGGGAAGACAGAGGCGTAAGTAGGCGGACAATATTAAAATGGATGTTAGAGAGAGATAGGATGGGATGGCATGGATTGGATTGATCTGGCTCAGGATAGGGACATTGGAGGGCTCTTGTGAACACGATAATGAACCTTCGGGTTCCATAAAATGCTGGGAAATTCTTGAGTAGCTGCAGAATTTGCGAGCAAGAAGGGCTCAGCTCCATTAGAAACTACGTAAAAATTGTAACTCAGGCTGAGCTTATGATCATCATATCTGTTGTGTTGGCAAGGCTCGAATATGGTGTTGGCAGGCCTGGGCGCAACGAATATGGCAGGTTGTGGTGTTTGAAGTATTTAGAGAATAATTGATGTTCATAAATATACTGACTTGTTACTAGGAAGTGACAGTTCATGATTTCACCTCAGTATAATGAAACTATCTGCTTCTGTTCTTCCGTTATTAGTGTCTTATTACAGGCACTGGCTGTACTATTTTATTTTGAAGAGTGCGTCGGTGCTAACCTCACGTAATTCGTAACTTGCGTAAGATTTGAAGACGTTTCTTAAAATGTATTCTGTTCAGGTCAGACGCGCCGTAGATAATTTCATTAGACGCTTTGTATGTTGTAATGAGATGCTCAGTGTCCGCGGAAGGTATAACTTTAACGATTGCAAAGCTGAGTTTAATAGTGTTAAGTCTGTTCTCAAGCCCTTTCATAAAAGTACGTACCAATTCGTTGGGAGTACGCGGTTGAATCATCATGTAAGTTAATTTAAAGTTTCTCTTGTGTGTGAAAGTTAGTTTTAGGGTTGTTTGAAATTCTAATTCAGTTCACAAATCAAAAGTGCCAATAATCAGCTTTCCAGACGGTAAAAAAATTATCAGAATTGATTCTTAATATATGGTGAGTGTATTTCATCATCTTATATCCTCATATTTTTAACCAGTTTATTGGTTAACTTACACACATAACTTCACCAGACATTTTTCATTCTGTTATGGCAGTGCTTATAGATTCACTGTTCAGTGCTTCTGATTTACAAGAAGAGTTAGATATTGGTAGATAATGTTGAGGCTGATAGCTGTATACAGTGTTATGCATTACATTCTGACAGTATTATGTTTATTGCCCCTGAAAGTTATGTTGAGTGTTTACAAGGTTAGGCACTTTCACGTTTTTGATGAACACTGAATAATTATTCCAAACGTTTTATTTTAATGAAAGTGTAAAATTGTTGTTCTTGCATTCCTTGTTGACAGGAAACGCCGTTAAACAGAGTGAGCTGCAAGAAGAATTCTTCCATGTGCCAATTATTTACATTTTGTTCATATATTAATTGCTTTAAAGACATTCACTTGATATTCTGGGATAATGGCTGATGTTTTTCTCCTTGCGTGCCTTTGGACAGGATGCTCTGTTATGTAAAAGAACCAAATATTAAATCATAACCACTGCACAGTTCCAAAAACTAGCCTACACTCTTATTTCATATTTGAGAGGTTCTGTGTTTGAATCTTGCCAGAGTCCAATTATTATGATGGAGGTTTTCGGTAACGTTCTGTAGTCCCATCACACAAGTGTCAGGATAGAACCTTAAAATAGGCCATGGTCACTTATGTTTCCTTCTTAAATTGCTTTTTGTAATCATACTGTAATTTCTCATTTGACATTTGTGATGATATTGCGTTATAAAATTCCTGTTGGAACTGTTTTATTAGGGATGTTTGTTAAAGGTATTTGTCTTGCCATTTCTTTTAAGACTGATAAATCAGTGGATACTTTTCTTTATTCTTATTACTGTTTTCTTAAAGGTTTACGTACACATAAGAAAGGAATATCACGCAGTTTTCAGCCTTCTAAATCGCTCTGGCCTGAGGGTTTCACACCAACTTTCAAATTACCTACATGCACGAGGCATACATTCTTCAGGTTCAGCCCCTCAGCAACAGCCGCCCCCAGATAATCATGATGACAAGAAACCAAATAAGGATGACGAAGATGATAGTAAAATTTCATCATTGCTTGCTAAAGCCTTTTTGTGGATGCTGACTGCATATATGCTCATAGCAATTGTCTCCCTTCTGTTTCCCAGTAGCACTCAACCAGAGGTGAGTTGCATGTATTTACACAATAATAATTTGTAGCTATGTGTATTCTCTTCTGTCATGATACAGTTATGCAAGACATGAAGTGCACTGCCATTGGTGAAAGAGCAGAAGCACTTATTACATGAATGTGAAACTTGAGGATGTTCCATAGTGTGCTGAAGAGAATATTTGGACCTCAGAGGAAGCTGGATAAACTTACATTATGAGTGGTTTTATAATTTGTGCCCTTCACTTAATATTATTGCAAGTGATTGTCAGATGAGGAAGGATGATATATATAGGAATGTAGAATGTACGGGGTAGATGAGAACTTTATATGGCATTTTATTCAGAAAAGCAGAAGATAAGAGACCACTTTGGAAGACCAAAGTATAGAAGATAGGTAAAAGGTAAAGCTGTCCATGTGCTTACCTAATTAAGCACTATGCCATGAAGGAATATGGGGGAGTGGATGTAAAGATTCACATTTTCTTGACCTCGGCACTTGCTGTACATGAGTGGTCAGCTTCACGCCCCTGCCTCTTTCCCCCCCCCCACAGGAGAAAGAGCCCCAGGTACTCATTGGATAGGAGGTGGGTGGACCCCAGAGCTGGTCTGGACGACATGAAGAAGAGAAAATTCTTGACCCTACAGGGGCTCGAACTCTGACCCCTCGGTCGTCCAGTCCATGGCCAGTCACTATACCGACTACACTATCCTGGCGCTCTAGATCAAGGGTCTCCAAACTACGGCCCGCGATGTAATTTTATCTGGCCCGCGAAAGAATTGTGCAGAAATGCGCCAGTTGAACTAATTTTCCAATGAGTACTGGTAAAAATAAATACTTGGTCATAGATTTCAACTGACGTTTGTAATACCGCTCAACTATTAGTATTTTTTTGTGGCGTCGACGATGAACTTAATGTTGCACAAGAATTAGCGTCACTTCACAGCATGCATGGCACTACAACAGGAGATGATATCTTCAAAGAAATACAAAAAACACTAACAGAATATAATTTGGACTGGAACCGTCTGCAGTGCGTGACAGTTGATGGAGGAAAAAACGTGTCTGGCATAAAAATATGTTTGGTTGGCCAAATCACAAAAGCCTGTGAGGATGCAGGAATATCAAAGCCAATGTTTCTTCACTGTGTTATCTACCAACAAGCACTCTGTGCAAAACATGTTGATATGAGCTCTGTTTTAAAACCTGTTATTTCTATCATTAATTTCATTCACTGTCATGCACTTAACCATTGCCAGTTTCGGTCTTTTCTCGAGGAATGTGATTCCGAGCTTACTGACCTGACATATTATACTGGAGTTCGATGGCTTAGCTGTGGAAAGGTTCTTTCATGTTTCTTTCAGCTCAGGAATGAAACTGATATATTTCTTACTGAGAAAAACCATCACGAACCACTTTTATCAGATACCAAGTGGCTTTGGAAATTAGCATTTTTTGCTGATCTGGTGAACCATATGAACAATTTGAATTTAAAGTTGCAGGTTGAAAATAACTTAGTCTGTGATTTATTTGAACTTATCAAGGCATTCAGAGCAAAGTTGATACTTCTGGAAAGCCAAGTGAAAAATTGTAACTTTGTTCATATGCTATACTGTGCAGAGTTGCATAAAAAGGGTGAAGCAGAAGTTCCTTACTCATTTGCAAATTTAGTCATTTTAGATTTGAAAGAACAATTTCAGAAGCGATTTGCTGATTTGGATGCCAGTGCTCAAGAAATTAGATTTTTTCAAAATCCGTTTGACTGTGATGCTGCAGATGTCCCAAGTCAAATTCAAATGGAAATTATTGAATTTCAGGAAAAATATCATATATGAAAGACAAATACAGGGAAAGAAATTTGATCAAATTTTATAAATTTCTGAACTCTGAGCAATTTCCAAATTTAAAGAAATTTGCTTGTAAATTTATCTCCATTTTTGGGACGACATATCTGTGTGAACAAACTTTTTCCCAGATGAAGTACATCAAGTTGAAATACAGGGCAAATTTATCTGATGAACATTTAAAGTCGGTACTTGTGATTAGCATTTCAAAATTTGAACCTCAAGTTAATCAGATTTTAAGAATGCAAAAAGAGTTCCATCATTCACATTAATTGTTTTATTATAATTTGTGATGAAAATATGAGCATTTGCTGCTGCTGTCTGTGGTCATTAATATACGATAATTTATTCTCATGTACTTTGTATTTAGTTTGTGAAATTCTGTGCTTTCAATAAAACTCATATACCTAGAGTTATTAATTTGTCATTTTATCTGGTCCGTTGAAAGTGCTGAATTACCTAATATAGCCTGCGTTTCGAAAAGTTTGGAGACCCCTGCTCTAGATGATAGGATAATATTAAAATGGATCTTAAAGGAGACCGTGAAGATATGGACTGGATTTAACAAGCTCAAAATAACAGTGCAGTGGTAGGCTGTTCTGTAATAAACACTGAAGCACAGAAATAGCAAGGGATTTGCTAACCACAAAAAGAATTGTTGCTATGTGGAGGTGGTTGGTTACTTAGCATTTCTGATAATACACTGTGATATGTGGTAGGAGAGTGGTCTGCAGAATATCCAGGGGTTTGAATTGCATAAGCCATGCGGTTCTTGTATGTTACATCCAGAGAACAACAGACCTTATTGCCATCAGTAGAGAAGGAATCAACACCATCATAAACTGTTCATTGGAATGATGACCTGTCTTAGAGATGTCAGAAACAAACAGCTCCTTTCACTATTAAAAACCAGCATTTATTAGATCCCCTGGGGTTTAGAGAGATAACGCTGAGTGCAGATGTGATGTCCAGAGAGCAATTTATGATCTTAGAGTTTTAAAAATTGTGTGTACTATGATATAGAAATGAAATAGTATAGGAAGCTGCCAGTATGAACTAAAAGTTTATCCATTAACAAGGCATTTTCAGTTGGCATTAAGAAAATTCCTTTTGTCGCACACCATCTGCTCTGTTGATGAATTTGTAAACCTTATATAATTGAGAACAGCCTGTTTATTATGTGTTGGATTGTAATACTTATTGTGAAATTTCTCATTTATTTAAAATTAAATGTAAAATGTGTTTTGTGATTGTTCTGCTGTGAGTTGTGAGACCTGTGTAGCAGGTCATCTCTTCTATCTACTTCCATTTTCATTATGCATCAGAACCCACTTCTCAAAGAAGAGGTAACAAGTGAGAAGAACTGAAGTGTCTTGCTGTATGTCACAGTTTGGTCAACAGCCCAAATAAGGTTTCATGCCAAGACAACATGGGTCAGTGGAGGAGGTGGTCATAACTCACTCAGTACTCTACTTCATTCTCTCTGAAGTTGGTGAACATAATGTATGCCCAAACAGTGGAACTGTTCCAACGTATGATGCAGCTTTGGCCTCACCATAGCTCAAGCAGTTAGTTGCTGGCTTCCCACCATGGCAGCCCAGGTTTGATCCCAGGTCTAGTCAAGTGGGATTTGTGGTGAACAAAGTGGCGCTGGGGTGGGCTGTCTCCAAGTACTTTGGTTTCCCCTGCCAATCTTCATTCCACCAAATTCTCCATCATCATAATCACCTGGAGCAGGCTGCAATGGGCCAATCAGTGGCCACTGTGCCAAGTGGACCCAGTTGGACTCCACCCCCCACTAAATGAATTATTATGATGCAGCTAAACCCTGAATTCCAAAGTTGAACATTAGATGCAGGCCTCAAAAGCCTAAGGACAAGAATTCTATACCTATACTTAAGTAATTAAGAAGTTCTTCGCCTCCAAAAAAATACAGTAGAAACAACATATTTACAGTTGCAATCAATAAAAAATTCTGATTTGACTAGAATTCAAGAGTATAGCCATATGCATATGCGTTCAGCATGCTGATTCTAAATTTGTTTAGTGGGGTGTGGAGTCCAACTGGGTCCACTCGGCACGGTGGCCACTGATTGGCCTATTGTGGTCTGCCCCAGGTGATTGTTATGGTGGAATGAAGATTGGCAGGGGAAACCAAAGTACTTGGAAAAAACTGCCCCAGCGCCAATTTGTTCACCACAAATCCCACTTGACCAGACCCGGGATCGAACCTGGGTCACCTGGGTGGGAAGCCAGCAACTAACCGCTTGAGCTATGATGCAGCCTTTCAGCATGCTAACCTGTGATCTGAATTATAATTTACTGTTCAATTATAAGATAACGTTACTTAAATGAGGCATTAACAACATGAAGATTTGTTGGATTCGAGATCTATGCTGTAGAAATGTAGGCTTCCTGAAATTTCTCTTGGCAGCCCTTATTTTGTTACTCCTTTCTTATTGTTGCAGCATTATTTTGCTATAGGGATTCCACCATGACCAGAAAGGTTCTCCAGTTAGAGTTATAAAAATCGTGCTCTATAATTATCAGTCCTGTTAATCTTTTATTTCAGGTGATTCGATATGTGTCATGGAATGAATTTGTCCATCATATGTTGGCCAAAGGAGAAGTGGAAGAAGTTATAGTCAGACCTGATGTTGATATTGTAACTATCATTCTGCATGATGGCGCAATTATAAAAGGAAAACGAGTAAGAAATAGAATACATTTATAATATCTTACTAATTAAAGACTTATTATTTGCTTTTCAGCTGGATCTGAGTGTTTCTAAAAATATTAAGAAACCTCATTAGAGGATATTCTCTGTTTCCTCCTGAGATTGTTAGCATAAGGCTGAAATTCTACTTTTAAATTAAAAATGCATATACTGTGTTACCTTCTAGGTGTACATTTGCCGTGATCATAAGAGAATGTCATAAGTAATGTTGAGCATTCTAGCAGATCATTTCATTTCAGCGGTTGACATGAATGGAAATGCAGTAGAACAAGTATGGCTTATAGTGAGAACATCTGTATAGTGGCAAAACTCATCAGCACTTTCAGTTTCTTATATATATATATAGTCATGTGTTGGGTGTACGTCACGCGACAAATAACTTCGCACCATTCTGGATCTAGCGAATTTATTCCACTCACTCTTACATTTATACAATTCACAGTTTCACAACTACTGCCGTCTGCAGTATCACAATTACTTCCACTGCTGGAGTCACTGCCATTCACTCCAGCGAATGCTAGACTGCACCTCACTGGTTACTCTGGTTACTCCCTCTCACTAATAACTCACTCAATACTCACTACTCCTGAATAGTGTTCGCTGCTCCTTGTTTAGGCTCAGCATGGACAACATAGAGAACACCTTCCTGCTCAACAACAGATATCAGGTATTGTTGTCAGGTGTTTCTACCTATGCATTGGCTAGCAATAGTCGCTGCACGGAGTTGCCTGTTGCGTGATGTCACAGCCTCGTGGGGAGGGTTGTTTACCGAGCGTTGCATAATGATAGGAGTGGGGGTATGTGATGTCACTTGCGAGAACGCAGAGTTCATGTGACCCCTACTTCCTGTTGCGCCATCCACGTCGCAATATATGCAAGTAAAAATCTCATAACTAGAGCTGTTATACAGCACTTTCTCCAGTGCAAGAGATTCTTGACTAGCTAGAACTTTTTCCCATAAATTTCTGCATCAGTTGTACTTACAGTTTGCTTCCCAAGTTATTTATAATAGGTAGTCCTTAAAGGTACCATTAACCCAACCTCTGGACCTATTCCTTGTGTAGCAGAAGAAAGTCTGCATTGCAGCATATGTGTGGGTACTGCATATAGGATTTTCTGACTACAGATCCAGAGGCCCTGGGTTCTATTCCCTGCGCTACCAGATTTTCTGAGAAGTAGTGAGTCTGAAACGGGATCCACTCAGCCTTGTGAGTATAATTGAGGAGCTATTTTAAGGAAATAGCGGCTCCAGTATAGAAAACCGAGATTAACGGCTGTGGGGGTCCGTTGCGCTGACCACACGACACCCTCTGTCCGCTAAAGTTGGCACTATTATTTTTATTATTATTTTTGGAGGGGGTGGGTTTCCTCATGCACCGTGACTAGTAGTCTATTGTGCGTCCCCCTTTGATATTCTACCAGTCGCCATGCCCTTCCAGTACTGGTGCTCGCTATCAGCTCCGTCCTGCCAGCGAGGTCAGCCCCTCTCTGGCAGTGGTCCCCGATACTTCCCCATGTACCGGAGGAATTGGAAACTACTTGGGCAGGAAACTTTGCCTAATTTTGCTCAGAGGTCTCCTAGAGACATGAGGATCTTTTACGTGCCGTAAATCTACGAAAAGTTGGCACTAACTTCGCCGACAAGCGGTGGTCACTCAGTCGGTATAATTCGCTTGTGGACTACAGGCCACAGAATTTGTTTTTTGTTTGTTTGTTCTGCATATAGGACTTAAACTTGCAGGGGGCCAGAAGTGGTAGAGCCCTTCTCAAACAGTCAGCTGCATCAGTTCAGAACAGAAGTCTGGACTCTGTTCCAGACTGAATGTGCTGGAATACTGAGCAGGACCATAAGTCAGTAGAAGTATGGGTGAATTCAGTGCTACTCTATGTCTAAATTCATAAAAATTAAGTAGTACAGTTATCCTGTGTACTTACATGTTAGGAAACTTCACTTACTGAAAGTTAATGGTGAATACTGTTTTCAAATAAGAACAAGTAAGCACAAATAAACTCTGCTGAGTAGTTAATCATTCAGCATACTATATGTAAGGGTAACCAATGTGATCGTGTAAGCACCCACATGAATGTCACCTTGGGATGTCTATGCTTTCCCTGAACAAATAAGAGCAAATAAACTGTGCTGTGCAGTTAATCATGTAGCATATGTTTAAGCATAACCAAATGTCACTGTTTAAGCACTTATTTGAATGTCACATTGAGATGTTCATGTTTTCTCTGAACTAGATGCACAATAATAAACTTTGTTTCATCCCCGTAATAATCGCACAGATTCCTGTCATGTCTGAAGGAGTATAATTAGTAATTAAGGATGGAAACAGCTGTAATAAGTGTGTTCTGATTTTGTTTTGCAGATTGACCATAAAACATTTCACATGAACATAGTGGATATCAAGAGATTTGAAGAAAAATTACGGGAAGCTGAAAGAAATTTGGGCATCAAAGTTGATAATGGCGTTCCCATCATCTATGAAAGAAGTTCTGACACTGCTGGAAAATTACTGGCCTCACTCATTGTTGTTGGTCTGTTGTTGTCCTTGCTGTCACGAAGTAGAAGCATCAGGCCTCCGATCAGCATGGATACGTTTGTACGTTCAGTCGCATTTTGAAGATCTGATGTTGATACATGTAAATAAAGTGTCAGAATTACACTATATTTTTCAAAGCTCATGCCATATTGATACATTCAACTCTGTGAATGAACGTGGACATTTATAGGTGCCATGTCCAAACTGCCATAGAGAAGTTTGTTCATTTAAGACTGTGCTTTAACATGGCCAAAAATTTTTCTTGGTAAAAGCACTTAAGTCTGCAGTTTTGTCATCTGTTACTAGATGGAAAGTGTAACAGCCCTTTTTTTTATATAAGGAGTGCATGTTTACTGTTGGCTGTTTGTTCTTAGACCATTTGTTTGCAATAGTTCAGAAATGGCTGAGTGGGTTCTGAACTTATATGTAATATAAGGGGAAAAATTGGAACATTTAGGTAGATTTAAGCATTGGATTTAAAAATTTAATACCTGGAAAATTATCACTTTGTGACATAGTGGTTAATTATAATGAAGTGTCTTCTTTCAGTATGGTTTATTCCCCTTTTTTGCCTCAGAACCAATTAAGGCACTAAAATATTTTTGTTTGTAGTCAATAAAATTTTCACAGAATGATAATAAAAGTAACTGTGTAAAATATCTGTGAACTTTAATGTAATGTTTATTTAATTCAGCAGTGTGTTTTGATGTCTGCACCAATGGCCATTTTGAAGCAACACACACTGTATTGCAAATTTTTTAATGACATGCAGTCTGTCATGAAGATTCTGCTGAGATCTTCAGTGCTCGTCCTGAACTTCATGTTAGTGATACTGTCACGTGAAACACTTTCCTTTGTATAGAGAAACCTACCATAATTATCAGAAAGTTGATATAACTCTTGTCTCGTTTCAAATTTCGTACTATGTTTTGTTCCTGTTTCACTTACTAAGAGAATTTAATTTTTTTTTAATTTATTTAATTTATTCTTATATTCAAGTAGATCCAATTACAGGGTGAGAAACAAGTTCACACACCACTGGATATAGAATGTGTCAAAAATCAAAACAAATGTTCCAACCAATCACTGGAACAAGTCAAAATAACATAATATAACACATAGAGAACACAGTCACTAAACATAATAAAATGTGACTACAACAAGACTTAAATACTAGATGAAAACATATTAACCATTTATCTTATAAAATTCAGCCAGTTTATAAAAACAATGCACATGAATGGATATTATAAATAAACAGTACAATATCAAATAATGTATGTTACATCACTCACACATCAAAAGAAAAGCTATAGAAACATCTAATATGCATCAACAATAAATGGAATAAATAAGTTCTCTCAGAAGTGTATTAAATAACTATTATGGTAATAAATACAATTATAAATAAATACATAAATTCATAAAAAAACAAGAGATTGTATATTAAAATAAATAAAAGTCATAGTTGGTATGTATGCAGATCTAAAGTAGATGATTATTTATATATTTTTAGTTAGTTAGTAGGACTTGTCAAGGTTAATTGCAGATACTATTTATAAGAACCAAGATCACTTCATGTGTTCCATTCATAATATTCATTTAAAGAATAAAATGAACCAGCAAGAAGAAAATTTTTTGAGCCTGTTTGAATTTAGTAATATCATTTAATAGATTCCTGATGCCTTGTGGTAGATTATTGAATATCCTAATTCCTGAATAATATACACCCTTCTGCACTCTAGCTAATTTAGTAGTTGGAAAATGTAAGTCAAAGCCTTGTCTGGTGTTAATGCTGTGTATTGCAGAATTAAATTTAAATATATCTAAATTCTTAACTATAAAATTGATACAGAAAATATAGATCGAAAATATAAGGGCAGAATATTTAACTGCCTGAACAATGGACGACAAGAGTCCTTATTTCTTGCCTTCATAATTATTCTCACTATTCGTTTTTGGATTTTTAAAACTAAATTACTCTGAGTCAAATTGCCCCAAAATATTATTCCCTGCGACATAATGGAATGTACATATGCCAACTAAATCATCCTTAAACACACCTGAGTCATAACTGCAGACAGGGTTCAAATACAATAACTGGCTGCACTCAGCTTAGTTACCAACTGATTTATTTGATCCTTCCATGATAGGGTATTATCTGTGATTAGACCTAGGAACATTGTGTTACAAGTATTTTTATTCTGAACATCCTTATAGTTTACCTTTATCATAATTGTTGTTTAGTCAAATTTTCTATGGAGCCATCAGGCACTGAAATACATATATAAAGGAATGAATGAACTACAACATCTTAAATTTTCATAACCTGAGAATCAGTGCCCTGCACCCACACTCGGTTAGTGCGATACTTAAAGAACCAGAAACGCCTTCCCATAGTGAATGTGTTAACATAACTAAGAGTGCACAATCACCAGCATGTAAAGATGGATTCAATAGCATGAACTTAAAAATTAAATTCGCTTAGTGGGGGGTGGAGTCCAAGTGGGTCCACCTGGCAAGGCAGCCACTGATTGGCCTATTGTAACCTGCCCCGGGTGATTATGATGATGGAGAATTTGGTGGAATGAATATTGGCAGGGGAAACAAAAGTACTTGGAGAAAACCTGCCCCAGAGCCACTTTGTCCACCACAAATCCCACTTGACTATACTGGGATCGAACCCAGGCCGCCACAGTGGGAAGCCAGCAGCTAACCACTTGAGCTATGGTGCGGCCTATAGCATGAGCTTGCTTCAGGCTGTAGTGTAGTTACATTTGGTTATGTGTAATAGTGTGAAATTAAAAGAGAACTGAGCAACCTGCTGCAAAACAGTAAGTTTTATCTGAATTGTACTTGCAAATATGTGGTTCATTTTTAGACACAGCTTGGTCGAGCAAAGTTTACATTGGTTGATCCACTTACTGGCCCAGGAAAAGGAGTCCATTTTTCTGATGTTGCTGGTTTGAAGGAGGCTAAACAAGAGGTCATGGAATTTGTTGACTACCTCAAGCGGCCAGAACATTACAAAAGTTTGGGTGCTAAGGTAATTGATTGTTATATTACAGTTATTGAGAAGTAAGTAAAGCTATCCCTGTACCAGGCTGTGAAGGTCCATAGGGTTGTGAGACGTTGAGGGTCCCACATTATCTAGACAATCAGCTAAAAGATGGCGGTAAAGTTGTCAGCCTTACGCGCCAGCCGCGCTTTACTCCCCAGGAAAGTTATTATTAATTCCTGATATTTAATTCCTGGTATTTATTTCTGTTAGAGGCTGAGTGAACCCTGGGGCCATGGTGCGGCTGGAAGGATTAGGTAAATTGAAAAAATCCAATTACCTCATTGGGACTTGAACCCATGACCTTCACAGAATTTGTGCAAATGTAGATCTGTGTACCAGAACTCTTTCCTACATGATGCCACTTATCCATTAGATGTGTTTATCTTTGCCATATGTAGTTGTTAAGTCTGGTTTATTTTGGGATTACCCATCATGATTATGGAATTTAAAGAAATTCCAAATATTTTAATTTTTGCTATTGAAAGTTTTTTTCTGTCTGACTAGTAGCTCAGTCAGTATAGTGACTGGGCTATAGGCTGGATGACAGGTGTTCAGATTCAGGCAGGGAAAAGACTTTTTTTTTTTTCTGTAGTATTGAGACTAGCTCCAAGGCCCACCAAGATTCCAGTCCAGTGGGTACTGGGGACTTTCTCCCCCCAGGGGTGTGTAGCTACCACTCACCTTCATGTAGTGCCATGGTCAAGAATGGTGGTGCTTTTACCTCCACTCATTCATATGCCTTTATGGCATGTCATGCTTTAATGAGTATGCAGTTTTGGATGTTATGTAATGGGGAACTTCATTAAGGAGGAGGAGGGAAAGAATGCATATAGGTTCTTGATGAGGCAATCTCTTATGTATATCAGTAGAGAACGGTGTGCAAATCTGTGCAAATTTTTAGGAAGAATGAGAAGGTGGTAAAATGTTAAAATGAGTCTCGGGGAAATAGTTATAATACATTGTTTTCTTTCATAAATCTTACATTGTGATCAAAATAATGTGATATTTACATAAGTGTGGAGAGAGGAAGGGAAAAGTATCAGACACAGATCAGTCCTGGTTCTCCGTCTGAGATCACAGTACTTTTCACATGACGGAAATTAATATTTAGCCTTCAGTTGTTTTCCTAAATAATATAGCTACAGTGTTAATGTTTATAGGAGTCTTCTGAATCATTCAGTTTATTGTGTATCTGTAGGTGCCACAAGGAGCACTGTTGCTTGGACCACCTGGATGTGGGAAGACATTACTTGCCAAAGCTGTTGCCACTGAAGCTAACGTTCCTTTCCTATCCATGAATGGCTCAGAATTTATTGAGATGATAGGTGGTCTTGGAGCCGCAAGAGTTCGCGATTTATTCAAAGAGGGTCGAAAACGGTCCCCTTGTATTATCTACATCGATGAAATTGATGCTATTGGTCGTAAACGCAGCGGGGGCATCGGTCAGTTTGACGGAGCATCCGGAGAAGGTGAACAGACCCTGAATCAGCTTCTTGTTGAGATGGATGGCATGGCTTCCAAGGAGGGGGTTATTATGCTGGCTTCAACCAATAGAGCTGATGTTCTGGATAAAGTGAGTGAACTGAATTGAAGTTACTGCAGTCAGAGGAAATCAGTTGATAACACTCATTTTCACTTTAATGCTTTCACTGTCAACCTAGTACATTCTCAGGCTGAGCACATTGCGTAATCTGTGTTAGCTTTAGGCCAGGAAGACACAGCAACATCGGTCGTACGGAAAAATGTCATACAATTTTTTTGCCATATGACCTCCTTTTCACACTAGAGTGACCAAATACATTTCTTTGCTCTCCGACCGTCGTACGGTAGATGTCGTGTGTCGTCACATATGAAAGCTAAGACTACACTTTATATTCTGCTACTTGATGCGACATGAACTGTACAGACGTCGTACGACCGATGTCGCTGCGTGTGTTCCTAGCCTTAGAATGTGTTGGTGCTGTATGTAGTATTCACTTAATATCCTTCCTAAGTTCAGTAGTATAAACTTAAGTCATCATCCACCATTACAGCTTACAAAGACTGCTTTTTCAGTACTGCTGTTCTGTTTCTTCTGACTCTTGTATGTTGCTGTATTAAAAATGCAGCTGTCAATAAGTGTTATTGTAACAGTAAAAGGTTTAAATATTGCTAAATTGTTTTGCAGTTACTTTTGTGTTGTATTTAACCTCCACCATCTGCAAGTTTGTAACATGTAACCAGCAACCTCACCATAAGCAACTTGAGACACAACATCCATTATTAAATTATTGTTTACAACACATGGCATGATGGATTGAATAACAAAGAGGAGCAACAGGAATCAGATTATGTGCCTTGCAACACAACAGATTTTATTGCATAATTGCATGGGAAGTTATTGAAATGGGCTTCTTATATTTCCATGCGCGAGAATAGCATCACCAGTGTGATCATTTGATGCATTCAAGATTCAAAGGAACATATCTAAAGTAACCATAAAGGGCTAGACACATAATTTGTTAAATAATTTTATTTCACATGTCCGCTTGCAGGTTAGTGGCTGTTATTTGTTGTCGTGGTTTTGGTCTTAGTTGTAGAAAACCTGACTTTAAATCTGTGACAGCTAACTGAAAACTGATGCAACATCTCCTGCAGATTATCTTTATTATCTGCATTTAATACTGCATCATCAGCATAACAGACTGCAATTTGTAATTAATTTAATTCACCTATTTATTAATTTTCTTCCTTAGGCATTGCTGAGGCCTGGTAGATTTGATCGTCATATTCTGATAGATCTGCCTACTTTGGAAGAGAGGAAACAAATATTTGAACAGCATCTGAAGGGTATTTCTCTTGAGAGTTCTCCTGAGCATTACTCAAAACGCTTGGCACACCTGACACCTGGTTTCAGTGGTACGTTATTGTAAAGTATATAAGTAATCAATGTCAGTTAAACAGTGAAGTGCATGTACAAACCGTCTGACTGTATAGCACCAAGACATCAGTACAAGAATATGCCACCCATATGAAATCATTGAAACAGCCCCACTGACTAGAAGTCATAAGTGTGGAATATTTTAAACTGGGTCGGATTGGAACCTAACTACCTGAAGCAGACTGCTTGAGAATATGACAACCATTTCACTGTCCAAAAAATTACCCACCTTTTGTGGTACCTGCAGGCTAATTACTGTATTCAAAAGACCCTGCCATCTGACCCTGCCCTTAGCCAAATGAATCCATTCCACATCCTCACACCATATTTCTTCAAGATCTATTTTTAATAATATATTTCCATCTATGCTGGTTTGATTGTTTAGCATGAATTATAGCAGTAAGACTATTCTATCCTTGACAGGTGCTGACATAGCAAACGTGTGTAATGAAGCTGCATTGCATGCTGCTCGTTACAAACAGAATACAGTGCGAGGGGAGAACTTGGAGTATGCTGTGGAGCGTGTAGTTGGTGGCACAGAGAAGCGAAGCCATGTCATGTCACCAGCAGAGAAACGAGTGGTGGCTTACCATGAATCTGGCCATGCTATTGTTGGCTGGATGCTGCGCTACACGGATGCTCTCCTCAAAGTGACCATTGTCCCTCGCACCAATCTAGCATTGGGATTTGCGCAGTACATGCCAACTGACCAAAAATTGTACTCTAGAGAAGAGGTGAGAAATAGAGTGTATCTCTAGAATCAGTTGACTAACACATCAAAATGCATCACATATATTGCATATGATTTTTATATAGGTTAACATATAAGTTATGTAACCACTGTTATTGTGAGTCTTCTTTAATCTTTTGTGGCATTTAACACATGAAACTATATTGTTCTTGAAGAAAGCAGTCTTCTGGGATGTGGCACCTTGTAGTGTTAGCCGATGTTTTGAGGAACATATCGCCTCCAGTTCTCACGGTCTCTTCGCTTGCGGATTTCTTATTTTTCCTTTTACCCTGAAGATGGAGGCAATACGTTCCTCCAAAACTTCGGCTAACACCTCATCTACACATTGCCACATCCCAGAAGACTGCTTTCTTCATAGTCACCGCCATGAAAACCTCAAATCTTACATATGTTGTTCTTGTTCTTTTTCTCCTTTTTCCTCGTATCCTTTTTTTTCTCTCTCTCTGTCTCTCTCTTTCCCCCATGCTACAGCCAGGTTCAAGTCCTGATTTGCTTAACTGTGTTTGATTTCTAAATCATTACTAAGGCAGCCAGTGGGACTTGGGGAGAGACTAACAGGGATCATACCATTTTAAAGCCTCTATTATCATGGACAAACTCAAAGCATATTACATTTGTTTGTTGATTAATTACTGTCACAGAATGTGTTAATTAGGTATGTATTATGAGTCCAGGCTCTGTTCCATTATGATCCATCTATTATTTGTTCATAAAGGTAAAAAGTTATCCCTGTAACAGGCCATGAAGGCCCATAGGGTTGTGAGATGTCCAGGCTCCCACATTTTCTAGACAATCGGCTCACGGATGGCGGCAAGGTTGTGAGCATTATGCACCAGCCACTCTTTACCCCCAAGAAAGATTCCTGGTACTCATTTCTTTTAGAGGCTGCGTCAACCTCAGGGCCATAGTGTGGCTGGAAGGATGAGGTAAATTGAAAAAAAAATCACCTCATCAGGACTCAGACTCACGACCTTCCAGCTTGTAGCATAGTGCCTCAACCAACTACACTATTGTGTGCCCCATTATTTGTTCATAAACTATGTGAAAACAGCATAACAAATGAATTGACAGTGGGCACTGTTTTCTGTTGCAGTTGTTTGAACGGATGTGTATGGCACTGGGTGGACGTGTTGCAGAGTCACTCACATTCAACAGAATAACGACAGGGGCTCAAAATGACTTGGAGAAGGTGACAAAGATGGCATTTGCACAGGTGCGTGTCTATGGCATGAGCAAGTCCGTGGGTCTGGTCTCTTTTCCCGAAGAAGAGACAAAAGAAATTGGGAGACGTCCATACAGCAAGCGACTGGCTGCTCTGATGGATGAAGAAGCTCACAAATTGGTAACTGCTGCATACCTGAAAACAGAACAGGTTCTCAAAGAGAACAAAGAGAAGCTTGAACTGGTAAGTGATGGTTGCAGATCATCAGTCAGGATGTATTTCAAATTTGCACATAGCAGTTCATAAAATCTTATGTTAGAACCGCCAGATTGAGAGAAATTTGTGTATCTATATTACACATTCTGAACAGCCCACAATATTTGTTAGGAGTGGTACATCCAACAGTTTCTGGTATATTTTGTACCACGAAAGAAGAATGGCATGTAAGAGCAGGAGTTTTCCAGGATTGCTTGTCCAATGTGCATCTTTCAATTGAAACATATTCAAGTGTTTTATGTGCTCCAATTCCACAAGTTACATGTAGCAAGGGCCGCGCTGTAGCTCAAGCAGTTAGTCACTGGCTTCCCACCGTGGCAGCCCGGGTTCGATCCCAGGTCAGGTCAAGTGGGATTTGTGGTGGACAAAGTGGCGCTGGGGCAGGTTTTCTCTGAGTACTTTGGTTTCCCCTGCCAATCTTCATTCAACCAATTGCTCCACAATCACCCTCACCTATCATCTGGGGCTGGTACAATAGGCCAGAAGTGGCCACAGTACTGGGGACTTTGTCCCACCCCACCAGCTATAAAAAAATACATATAGCATCTTGGTCAGGGTATTATACATTGCATGAAACATTTCGGGTATAAGCGTGTTGTAATCTGTATACAATTTCATTATTTCTGTACAGTTTATTTTGAGAAAAACCTGGGTGAAGAATGGGATACCTTTTGTGTGTGTTTGTTTGCATGCTTGTTGCTTGATTGTTGCTTGGCTTACTCATCCCTGAAGATGGAGGAGTGTGGTCCTTCAAAACATCAGTGGACTTTACTGGACTTAACGTGGTACTATGTCCCAGGAGTTAATACTGTTTGGAGAGTAATACTTATATGTACAGGTAATAAAGTCAAAAGAAGTTGATTTAGCTGAAGTATTGTATGTGAAAGACATTGCTGTATGTTGAAGCACACTAACCCAATTGATTCTAAAGGGTTCTGACATTGATGGATGACACACAAAATTACTGGGGTTCTGGACTTTTTCCATCGCCTGGAATTCTAGGTAATAGAGCACAAGACATTTCAGTGATTGAGATTAGCTCTTTCTAAGGGGCCCAACTGAGTAGATGTCTTCCTTTCTCATCTGAAGGCAGAAACAGATCCAGTTTCCAAAACATCGTGTCCTCTATTACCTACAATTCCGGACGATGGAAAAAGTCCAAAACCCAATACTTTTCATGATTTATTTCAACCGTCTTCCAGTGCATACACTCATCTATCTCCTCCTCTCACTCGCACTACATGTTTCGGCACAAAAATGCCATCTTCAGGTGCTTATTCGATTTACGCTAAACTAGTTCATTGCATGCCTTGTCGTCTTCATATTAAAATAACTAAAATATATATTTATCAATGATAAATATTCATATTCGTCTTCATATTAAAATAACTAAAATATATATTTATCAATGATAAATATATATTTTAGTTATTTTAATATGAAGACGACAAGGCATGCAATGAACTAGTTTAGCGTAAATCGAATAAGCACCTGAAGATGGCACTTTTGTGCCGAAACATGTAGTGCGAGTGAGAGGAGGAGATAGATGAGTGTATGCACTGGAAGACGGTTGAAATAAATCGTGGACTTAAATCAGTGCAACAGGACGCTAAAATATAACCCAATAATTTTGTTTGACTAACCCTGTTGCTTTAATTTCAGTTGGCTGAAACTCTTCTAGAAAAGGAAACACTTAATTATGATGATGTAGAGAAATTGATAGGTCCACCACCTTTTGGGAAGAAGAGACTAATTGGTCCAGCAGAGTTTGAAGTGTCTGTGAACAAGGCAGCAGAAGAGGGTGGGGAGGAAGAGAAGTCACTGCAGAGCCAGCACCAGCAACAAAATGCACACAAGTTTGCAGGGTTTCTGGTATAAGTAGTGTATACATCAGAATAAAGATAAAACCTTAGTAAGAGCTTCACGAAACAAATTTCTCTTAGTTTTCATCATATGGGTTTTTAAATAACCAATGTGGATTTGGTGACAAGCGTTTCTTTAGTGTAGGAAATTAAGACTTGCCTCAGTCAGGTTTGGCATTCATACTAAGTACTGAATATGTGTGTCTCTGGAACAATTTGTATTTAAAACATTGTAGATAAAACTGAATGTAAAAATAAAAAGTGTAATGATTTCACATTTCCTGTGTTCCAATCCTGAGGACAAAGTCATGTAATGGTGTAAAATTTGAATATTTAATGTACATTACGTAAATACAGCAAAAATTTATGAGCCACTTTTGCATTCAGAAAACTGATGTCTCCATCATGAGGAACTAATGGGAGTAACTGATTGGTTGATGTCTATGCAGTAGAATCCCAATTATCCATACATGTAACATTTAGTTTGCATTAGCGTCCCTTTGCGTCCAATTGCAATTTAGATGGATTATAGACAAATGGACGCTAATGTGAACAATTGCAACAGGATGCTGAAATACAGAACTTGCTTTGCAGTTTATCTATGCACATGAACTGTGTGTATTTCTTGGCTTCTCTCAAGTGAAACTTTCCACATATTTATCAAATTAACAGAAGCTGTACAGAGAAATAAAACATTATGTTTAATAAATATTGTTTTTAAATCTTATGGTTTTCAAGATAAGTAAAATCGGATGTTATAGATACATTTCTGAATTCCAGTCTAGTAAATTGGATTATCTTTTTCCCTTCATTAGCATGAATAATTGAGAGTATACTATGTATGTACTATAAGGCACAATAGATCACTGTTTTCGTGTTGCAAGGGCCAAGAAGGCCACCCTGTATACATTCATGTATGTATACCACACTGAACCCAGTCTTCTTTTTCCAGAAATTGGTCAATGGCGAAACAATAGGCAGAGTCAAGCAGTCACCCAGTTACTGCACAAAACTGAATGTTTGCTAAACTTTAATAGGGAACATATCCAAGTTTATGAAGCACGCTACAAACTGAGTTACATGATAGCTCTTAATTGATCCCATCGGTACTGAAGTTGTTTGGATACAGATATAATTTATATGCCCCGTAGCTCTCACTAGTATTAAGGTTTCAGTTAAGTTTATTTTGCAGCTTGATTCATTGCTGTGTTCTACAGTCGACCTGAAGTAAGTAAAGTAAAGGTATCCCTGTAACAGGCCATGGAGGCCCATAGGATTGTGAGATGTTGAGGTGCCCACATTCTGGACAATTGGCTCATAGATGGCGGTAAGGTTGTCAGCCCTACGCGCCGGCTGCCCTTTACCCCCAAGAATATTCCTGGTACTCATTTCTGTTAGAGGCTGAGTCGACCCCAAGGCTGTAGTGCAGCTGGAAGGATTAGGCAAATTGAAACAAATCCACTGCAACCTTCCGGCTTGTAGCATAGTACCTCAACCAACTACACTACCACGTGCCCCCTCTACAATCGACCTGCTTAGTTAAAAGAATTATATATATGGTGCATGCTTTTCATATATAATATTAATCGTGTTTTCTGGCCAGCATATACTCTTCCACAGTCATAAAATACAGTCTGTGCTTCAAATGCTAAGGCGTAGGCCATTCTCCCCTATTCTGTACATGTGAGCCATCTTTTGACTTCGATGTGTGCAGTCTGCATGTTGAATTTGGCAGGCAGTAAAGTGGTATGTTAAGCGCACCAAAGGTAATGCTATCCCTCTAACAAGCCGTGGATGCCCATAGGTTTGTGAAACATGAAGGGTCCCACATTTTCTAGACAGTCAACTCGCATATGGCGATAAGTGTGTCAGCGTTGTGTGCCAGCCACCCTATCTCTCCTCAAGAAGAGACCTGGTACTCTATTAAGAGGCTGAATCAACTCCATAGCTATAGTACTGTTGGAAGGACTAGGTAAATCGAAAAAAATTGAATGACCTCATCAGGAATTGAACCTGTGACCTTCCAGCTTGTAGCATAGTCCCTCAACCAACAATGCTACTGCATGCCCCCTAGGCACACCTGTCTTCCTGTGTACTTTATAAGTTCATGTGCTGTTAGGTGCGATATGACATTCTCCAGTGTGAGCATTACTCACTGCAGATGGCTTGCATGTGATCTGAATTATGTTATGATGAAGTCACTGCCACACACATGGATCTGTTTACATCTGAATGCTCTGTTACTGGCTGTACTTGGGTCAGCATGTTAGGGAGGCATGACAAGGACCAGTGGGAAGCAATTTTTGGGCACTGGTAATAGGAAAGCAACATTTACAAGTATAACCCTTTCAGTATGGTACAAGTGTCTGCTGTTCGAAGGTTCCATTTGATTTCTTGTTAGGAATTTGGCTACCAAACTCTGCATTTCTTTGTGTCATAACGATTTCTGTTATGGAACATTTGAGTACATTCTGTCTGATTTCTGAAGGGTATTGGTCTAGGTCAGATTCTCATGAGATTGATTTTAAAGTGATGTGTATGTTAGTAAAATAAGGAAAATGTTATTTTATGTTAATTTATACAGATTACTTTTTTGATAAATCTTAAAGCTCGTACAATCATATGATCATACAGTTCGTTTAGTTCATTTATTGATCTATTCTGACTGTAGTTAATTTTTCCTCATATAAGAAACATATATTTTTATAAATTCATTTATTATCACAGTGCAAGGCCCTCCCCTCAAAGATTAACTCATTCACACTACTCCAGGCCAAAGAAGTGTGTGGGTGTATGCCACATCCTTGAGAGTGGGATCACCCCAGTTAGCATATATCATTGTGACTGTCTTGTGCAGTACGCAATGTGTCGTTCTGTAGGAATGCTGCCACTTGTATAGGTGTTTCCTTACTGAGATTTTCTGAATCACATAATGTTTTTTAATGTTGGGTGTAGTACAATGTAGTCTAACATATTTCTGTGATAGTACTAGTGAAAACTTGTTGAAGGTCAAAGTCCATGTGTGTAAGTCTTCTTACACAGAATGGCCAACAAGTTTTCAGTATTAATTATCCATATGAAGGTATTTACCTCTTACTATGGTAGTTACCTATTTCTTAATTAATATCAAAGGGTAAGCACATTAGGTATTGCAAGAGAGACAGGTCAGTGTTCCCACTGTATTTATGTACACATTCGATTCAGTGCAGTGCAGTGGTAGCAGTGTCTAGTAGTGTCTAACTGTGTAGTTAGGTAAGGGTATGTGTCAGTTTAGCTGGCCACGGTAGCCGATCGGTCTAAGGCACGCACTGTCTTTGCTCGCTCGGTAGCCAGGATCCTGGGTTCGAATCCCACTCAGGGCATGGATGTTTGTGTGCGTTTTTCTGTGTTTGTCTATAGGTAGAGAGACATAATGCAGACTGACCCACATGGACACGAGTTCTATTTTAGCAGTGATGAAATACTGGTTTGTAAAATCTGAAAATTAGTTTATTAGTCTGTAAAATGCATTCTCCTTTAACATAAATTCTGGTCTTTCCCCATGCTGTGTGTAAACACAGTTTCATGCTCAGTCATCAGGAAGGTGATAGATGGTTGGTCATAGGGATGTAGCATGTGGATCACTATGGAAACCTTTGTTTCTAAACAAGGTTTGTATCTGAGTCATGACTGTTCACCTCCCACCCTAATAAAATTTATACTTCCCCTTCTTATTCACCATCTCATATGCAAACGTGTGTTAAAATATTAAAAATTAATATTTTTTTCTATTTTAAAATGATTTTTCACATCACTGGTGCACCAGATTTTAACACGTTTGCATGTGAGATGGTGAATAAGAAGTAAAAATATGTGACATGCAACAGGATGCTTCAGTACAACATTAAGATTTATACAGCTAATTGTATTTTAACGTGTAATATAATAGCAAGTTTTCACTTTGAAGCACATATATGAAATTAAAATTTGGGGGCCTCCTAGGTCTGTAATAGGCAAGGAATTTACTTGCTAGCTGAATGACTGCTAGCCTCCCAAGGACTGCTATGTGGAGTTGGTCAGTTATGCAAAAATTTGTTCAAATAGATATTGTACTACATATTTTCAAGAATTCTGAGTAGTTCCAAAATATACAGTTTATAAATTCCAAATAAATTACTGGAACAGAGTTTTGTGCATTCAGTCAATGGCCATTCACAGTGACAGGGTATTTCATGCTTTTCAGAACCTCAAAGTTCATTACTGTACTCACAAAAGCATGCCATTGAACTATATTTTGAAATATCTTAATCATGTTCATAACAATTCTGAGATGCAATATTGTGACATGACAGCCAGACGCTCCCTTATCAACAGTCACGCAGGCCATCGCTAGGCAACAGTCAGTTACATATCACACAACACTAGAGAATCTGTTAGAGGCAGCGTCGCAGTCCATCCTGAGGCTATAGTATACATGATAGCCCCCACTATCCTGACCCCATCCTCTCATCAGAGAGGGCGCCCAATATGGACAGGACAGTAGCTATCAAACAGGAAGTACACATAGTATCTGGTCAAGACAGATTGATTGACTGACCGTCAACCACAAGTGACTTTGACGTTGACTAGCTTGACTGAAGGTTTCGTGGTTTTCCTCAGTTCCTCCAGGCAAATTCCAGAGTATTAACTTCAAATTAGGCCATGACCACATCCTTATACATTTTTCCACTTCATTATTCAATGTTATCCAGCTATTTCTCAGTATATAGCCTGAGTTACTCACAGCATCATTAACTAAATTATACATGTAAATAAATGACGTTGCCCTATTGTAAGGTAATTTCCCGGAATTTCTGTGAAGGCACTGATGACAATCATGGAAAGATGTCTGAATTGCCATTTCCAGACAAAGATTCAAGTCAAGAATAGAGGTGCCAGAAGTTCTGTAAGTATCAGGAGCAAGGATCTTGAATTCCAGAGTGCAACATCCTATTTTTTGTCGTGGTTCCGGGTCCCGTGAGACTCATGACCATATTTCTTCTGTCTCATAACTCTGGGAGTCATTACGCGTTTATTTTACGTTTCCGTGGTACAGTCTCCCTTAAGGAGCCAAAAGCCATCCAGTTAGTCAAGAAATTACCGNGGTCTCTTCGCTTGCAGATTTCTTATATTTTTTCTTCTACCCTGAAGATGGAGGCGATACGTTCCTCCGAAACGTCGGTTAACACCACATATACACGGTGCCAAATCCCAGAAGACTGCTTTCTTCAAATTACCGTCTGTTATGGAAACCTGAAAAATTCGTAACATGAACACCGTTGCGAGCTATTTTATTCACAGTCCATTTTCAGTTCCTTCCGTCTGCGTCTGAGTTTCCCAACATGTATATTCCCAAGAGGTTCTCCCAATCAAAACCCCGTTTTTTTTTTCCTTCTTTAGAAGAAAGAATCTCGCGGGCAACATGAGTCTCGCGTGCCTCAGTTGTCATGCCGTACCCATCTTGACCTCCGCAAGGTGCAGCATAGAAGTTGTTTTGTGCTTGCAAGGTGATGAATATTATACGATAATTTACTAGATTGTTGACATTTCCAATAAAGGTGCGGTGCAACACACCTGGTGTGTCCCGGGGCGAAACATCTGCCTGCCGGTCAGAAGGAATGTGGGCCAGGTAAGCATCTCACCCGAGATTTCACTTTCAGCGGTATTCTGTCCAGCGCTACTCAGGGCATGCGTATAGGGGATTAACGTTGATCAGTGGTAGCAGTAGTAACATCAGTCGTAAATAAGTACCTAGTATGCACGATGTTAGAAATTAAAGTCGCTGCTAGAAATAATAACAAATGATGGACCATTAGAAATAGCCCAAAATGGTTACGTCATCGTAGCTGGTATTTATATGGAAGAACTGAGAAAAAATGCGAAATTTCTCAATTAAAGTAGTGCAGCCGGATCCTCATCAAAGGTTCGAACCGGAAATTTGTCGTGTTACTGCAGTGCTGGTTGGTCTAATTCGTTGAAGCAACATTCTTCATGAGAAGCCAATAGTCGTCTGGCGAGTCAAAAACTTCATTGCGGTTTCCAAGAGAATCCACCCCAACTCACTCACTCATGTAGCTGAACTCTTCTTGAGAAGCCGCCAATTGTGCAACTATTGAAGAACTTCCCAGCATTTTATGGAACCCGAAGGTTCATTACCATGTTCACAAGAGCACCCCAATGGTTCGTATCCTGATCCAGATCAATCCAATCCATACCATCCCATCCTATCTCTCTGTGGATCCCTTGTCACCACGGCATGGCGCGGCCTCAGGTTGCGAATGGAGGAGACGCCCTCCAGGTATGGAGGGAAGCTCAGAATATATTGAATAAGCAATCGCGGACAGACGATAAGGGGTGGTCCTCCAGCTTGGGGGTTGGACGTGGGACTAGCATCTCTTCGCCGTAAAAAATAAGCTTGTTAAGAAAATTTAAAAAAAGTCTCGGACCTGGACGGATCCTCTGAATAAACGACCTAGGCTAAAGAAAATGGAAAATAGTCCACCACTAGACCCTATCTTAAGCTACGTGATTCAAGTCCAATCCTCACACCCTTTCCTTTGAATGTCTATTTTAATACGTATTATCCGCCCATGTTTCTTTCAAGTGGACGCTTTCTTTCAGGTTTTCCGAATAACATTTTGTATACATTTCTTCCACACTTCCTAAATTCACCTCTCTTCTCTTCGTTCTTAGTTTATCGCCATATTTGGTTCAAAACGTCAGATAATGGGGCTCTTCATTATGTAAGTTTCTCCGGTCTCCCGTTACTTCCACAGTCTACCGGTGTGTTTTATCTTAAGGTGAGAGATACGTTGCTGATGCACTCAGTATTACGCCATAGAACCATACCACGAAACTGTTTGGGTAGTGGAGGAAAGTTGTACATAAATAACCAAGAAACAACAGAATTATTCAGCGAGTATATTCTTCCATATTGAAGCATGACTTCTGTACATGACTTGAACTATTATATCTACGTAAATGGGAGCATGCGGTAGCATAGTTGGCTGAGGCACTATGCTACAAGCCGGAAGGTCGCAGGTTTAAGTCCCGATGAGGTCATTGAATTTTTTTTTAATTGATCTAATCCTTCCAGCTGCACTATGGCTCTGTGGTCGATTCAGCCTCTAACACAAATGAGTACCGGGAATTAATTAAATAATTTTCCTGGGGAGTTAAGAGCGGCAGGCTCGTAAGGCTGACCTTACCGCCATCTTTGAGCCGATTGTCTAGATAATGTGGGACCCTCAACGTCTCACAGTCCTATGGGCCTTCACGGCCTGTTACAGAGAGAGCTTTACTTTTTTTATATACCTAAATAACGAGTGTGATATTGAGTCCTTTGTTAGGATATAGAACATAGAGTGTGTCTGAGATAATTGGAAGAAAGAATGTGTTTGGGAAGAACGCTCGGAGACTTCTAATCATGCCAAGTCGCGGGCCAGAAGAGGATGTTAGGCTGTGAGTTATGGCATGCAATTTGCGCAGGAAATTTCCAGTCTTGCATGCAGTCCGGTGCCTGCAAGATGTAAACAAGTTGTGTCCTTCGCGAGAACAAACTACGTACTTCTTCCCGGTCGTAGTTTCCGCGCAGCAAACACGCAGTAGCGGTTTGTGCGTTTTTGTGCGATTTGATGTTCTTACAACGGTGATTATAAAGATCGCTGTCTTCTGGAATGTGACGCAGTGTAGTCTGGTAGATATTTGTCAACTTTTCTGAAGAACCTGCTACATCGATGTTCGGGGCTGAAGAGTCGTGCATCTTCTGTTCAGAGTACGCAGTACCCATTGTTACTGATTTATTTGTAGTTTATTTAACAACTCTGTTACAAACAGGATTTATATAAACATTGAAATTAGCATCCAGAATAACAAAATTACGAAGTGCTTGATCCTTTAAAGTCATACAATATACACATCATTTTTTAAGTTAAATATTACAACATAACAAAATAATACACGTATTAAAACGACATTTTATGCGTGCAAAAGGAAGCAAGTGTGGCACAAACCCTGTTCACATACTAGGGTCCGGAAACAGGGACCGCAGTGTAATTATCCTTGACATAGAAACTTCCCACTCGGGCGGAAGAATCCTGTCGTGAGATCCGCATGTCACATCGAAGTGTGAAGTCGCAGACTTGCAGCGTTCAAAATACAGAGCGTTCAATGATCGAGGAAACCTCGCAGCAGCGTAGAGCGGACAGAACATTTCTCACAGATTGCTGCTTTAACTACCTAGCAGAACAGTGTTCGCAAATAAAACACAACTGGGCGCGCGCCTGGCCGACACATGATTCTGGGCCAATTATATGTGGAGGAGGTACGCGCTAATATGATTGATCATTAAATCGCGACGGGATTATAGTTTTCACAATTCAGAGGAAAACATCGGGGGTATAGACGTCAGGCAGCGCCGTTAGAACGGAAACTGAGGCGGGTCGACCAACTAAGTTCTGTCTCTCTCGACTTTCTAATGACAAAAACAATCCCAGTCAATATGAGGACGGATCTATAACATTTTGTCTTTATTTTGATTCGTATTCTTGCTGGCTCCCATATGAAATGTTTTTACAGTTGCCAGTACGTAATGCACATGGTCTTCTCTTTTTTTACCCTGAGTATGACCGGAAATGAGGGTAGACGCTGATAGGCGCCGTCTACTTAGTTCCAGACCACTTCATTTTAAGAAAACTCTTTCTGATGTCTAGGAAGCGGGAGAGCTCAGTCGGTATAGCTGGACGACCGAAGGGTCGGAGTTCGAGTCCCAGTAGGGACAAAACTTGTCTCTTCTCTACGTCGTTCAGGCTAGTTCTGAGGCTCACCCAGCTTCATATCCAGTGAGTACTGGGGGCTCTTTCCCCGGAGGTAAAGCGGCCGGGGCGTTAATCTGACCACTCATCTCCATCCGGTGTTGAGGTCAAGAAAACGTGAATCTACACATCCACTCCCCCACACGACTTCATGGTGTAATGCTTAATTAGTTAGGTACAAGCGCAACTTTACGTTATTTCTAATGTCTAAAGGCGTCAAAATTACTGTGCTCAACAGTGACGCCTGTAGGAATGAGACTGCATTGTATAATTTTATTTTTATGTTTGTCGATCATACCTCAGAGTTTCTTTGCTCATCTGAAGCGTCTACTTCTAGTCTGGGACGTTTACCGAGAACCGAAAAACCATTCCACCCCTGCGGTTGAGACAATATTTGTTTGTACAGTCCTCCCCTATGCAGTTCATGGCCGTCATTATAAAACATGTTACATCTACACACAATTACAGAAAGTTAGAATTGCAAGTTCTGTGTTGCAATCCTGAAATGTTCACGGTGTTGCAGCCTTCAAGTAAGGCTACACTGATACTAACATTATGTGCTACAAAAAGATATCAACATTAGCCTCTTCTCACAAGTTGGACTTGCCTTGTTGCAGATATAAGAGACAGACAACTGATCAGGGAAATTCATAAGATGCTCTCAAAGATAGAAAAGATCCCTCTCTAATATACTGGAACTTATTTTAACGTCCTTAAATTAGAGCTGGGAAGCCAATAGCCCGCCATTACTGTACTCTGCATATGCCGTTCAGTATACTATATGAAGCAGATGATGGTCCAGGATGAGTTCTGAAAGCGGCTGCGAAGCGTCGTGGTATCGTAGTATGACTGCATGGCACGTGTCACCTCCAGTTAGCCTGAGGAGACCTAAAAAACTTGCCGGCCATGAGATTCGGTCAAGGGGCTATACAGGTTATCTAGCACTTTGTTAGAAATAAAGATTGCGGCATTCGCATATGTCTAGACATAAAAAAATTAACTTGGAATTTATCTTTATTTTAGTTTAAATTATTCTATTATTTATAGTGTTGTTCTATGGAAAGTTTGCCTGTGCGACTTACCTATGCAAGAAGCCAATGAAAGAAATCCTGTGTGTGGTCTTGAAGCTCGTATGTTGCATGTACCAATCAGTTTATATATTTATTCTCTCCTAGACTTGAAAGGATTCTGACGATGGTGTACACTGTACTTCTTTTGGCTTATTTTGGACTTCACCCTTCGTCTGGTATGTAAAAAACAAAAAGACAAAAAACCACGACGTTTCGGAGACTGGATCTGTTTCCGTCTTCAGGTGGATAGGGAAGGATAAACCAATCACTGGTCCAGTGATTGAGACTAGCTCTTTCTAAGGGGCCGAACTGAGTAGGTTTATCCTTCCCTATCCACCTGAAGACGGAGACAGATCCAGTCTCCGAAACGTCGTGGTTTTTTGTCTTTTTGTCTTTTACATACCAGACGATGGGTGAAGTCCAAAATAAGCCAAAAGAAGTACATTATTCTCTCTTATCCATCTTGCGATGAACTCTTATATCAGAAATTAACCATACAAATTCGTAACGTAGCCTATTTACACGCTTAATCAGGGACGGTTGAATAGTCACATCTCCCATATTTCTTTATATATTGCAGACCAAATGTATAAGTATCTTTTTACCTCTAAATGAAATACCTTGCTATAGGATACGTCAGGTATTTTTAACTTAATAATGTACCGCCTACACAAAAAATTTGGCTCAACTTTATATATTCATGATTTAATAGATTCTGTGAAATTTTCTTTCATTCGGTATTGCTTCATAACTTCAAATTATTACTTCAGAATCTTACGTGTTTATTATTTTTTTTCTCCAGAAATCGTTTGCAGTCTTATATCACAAGAATATAAAGAGGTAGTAGACGCAAGAATACATGACTCTCCAAGCGACACGAAATTCCCCCGCTTTCCATCTCAGGTAAAAACAAATACAATTTCTCGTAACTTAGCGATTAAAAAAGGTAAAGCTATCCCTGTAACAGGCCGTGGAGGCCCATAAGGTTGTGAGACGTTGAGGCTATCACATTTTCTAGACCAGTGTTCCGCAACATTTTTCTACTCGCGGAACACCATGACTCAACACGGCACACCAAAATGTTATTCCCCTCAAGAACGCATGATATCAGACAATTAATATAAATACGTAACGTGATCAACTTATTACTATAATATTATTATATTGTTATTTTATTATCATTAAACAGGAATCGACTCGTGCGTTTATTACCAATGAATGAACTTTAATTCACTATAGAGTGTAGAAAATACGCTTCTATTACTATTAAAATAAATACAGTAATTCTACTCATACCCTCAAACTGATACTTGCGCCTGCGTAGCTGCACACAGGCGACTGATCCGTGGTGGAATCGTTGACAACGCAAGTCTCATTTCTTCATCGATGGATTTGAGCCGCTCCCTCTTTGATGTCTTAATTTCAGTTAACGTCGAGAAGCCCAGTTCACACAAATATGTACTTGAAAATGGCAATAACACATTAACTGCCAACTCGGAGATAGCTGGGTATTCACTCCTTATTGCCAACCAAAACGTATCCAAAGGCACTTCGAGAAGTTGTAGTTTCAATGTTCTGTCTGCTTTTAAATCTCCGAGTTCCTCTTGTATATTAATCGGAAGATGTTCTGAATTCACAACAAATGGATCACGAACCCAGTCGAAATCTTGTACACTCTCTCCAAAATACTTATTGAATTTCTGCTGCAGCATTTCTAAATGTTCTTTTTAATTGTGTCCATCACCACTTTTTGCCGTCAGCAAGTGGCCATACAGTCGGGGACATCTCAAACGACCCATCTGTAATTCTCTAACTGGCAACCAAAATTTGCGAACTACTTCAGAGCGCAGCTGTAATAGAACCGAAACAGTTGTAAAAGACGGGATCTCTACTCTTCAAACGGAAGAAGTGACACTATACAGACTTATTTTTGAAATATTTATAATTTTAAATGAAGTCCAGCAATCGATGGGTGCATCGTTACAGGAAGAAAGTCATAAAGTTGAAGAAGCTCTAACTTCTAACAAACAGGGGCAAATACCAAAACAGCGTTATAAAAGACAGGAGAATCCATGCTAATCTCTGCAGTTTTAGGGAAAAGCACGTACACAGAACATGCGGCAAGCATATCAAAGAAGCTGCGTAGATGCGAGAAAAATAAAAATTAATCAATAATGAAAACTAATGATGTAACAACAACTGTGAGTAAATAATTTACGTTTAATTTCTTAGAATACAACATTACTGTACATAAAAAAATCACGGCATATAATAAAGAATAAACAAACATCATCTTATTTAATCAGTGCAGTGGCTGAGAATAAAATACAAGCATATGAAACACGGCAACTGGGATAAAATAAAACGAATACAATTCGACAATGAATTTCTTACAATAGGTAAAAGTTTGCGTCACACCTTTCACCTTGTGACGGCACACCGGTTGCGGAACACTGTTCTAGACAATCGGGTCACAGATCGCGGTGAGGTTGTCAGCCTTACACGCTGGCCGCTCATTACCCCCAGGAAGATTCCTGGTACTCATTTCAGTCAGAGGCTGAGTCAACCCCAGGGCCATATGCGGCTGGAAGGATTATATCAATTGAAAAAATGCAATGATATCATCGGGAATCGAACCCGCGACCTTCCGCTTTGCAGCATAGTGCCTCAACCAACTACGCTACCGCGTGCCCCCAGAACTTAGTGATTAATAACACGAAATTTTCCGACACTGTGGCAAAAACCGTCATTAGTATTTTGCAGGCATTCTTAGAACACTTTTATTAATTCTTATCAGGATTATTGTTTTTTTTCTTTACTTTGTCCATCGTCCGATATTTGAAGAACATGACATTTCGGAAACTGCATCTGTTTCCGGCCTCAGGTGAAAGGGTGGGAGTCGCCTACTCTTTTGGATCCGTTAGAAGGGGCTAACCTAAATCACTGGACAGCCTGTCAGCGTCACTACCGCCACCTGAGATCGGGGTTTGTCAACGGGATACAACAGAAAACTGTGCAATAAAACCCTGTTAAATAAAAGAAACATTTTGTGTATTCTATTGTGACATACGCTCTGTGGAGTCTTTGTTTCTTTTTCGTAAAGACTTTAGAAAAATATTAAGAACGCTCTTTGAGTTTTTGTGTACGCCACTGAAAACGTAGGCCTCATACGAATTCTGTAAGCTCTTCGATAATGATTCTTGTGCGGTGAGTATCCCGGTATAGCGTGCAGAGCTCAGAAAACACTGACGCTGACAGTAACTGCATGGTTAATGAGATGGGATCTGCTGGATCAGTGGCGGCTTCAGAGAAGTAATGCATTTACTCTCCTAATATCCCCATTCTAACATTCAAACAGGGAGAGAGGTGTGAATACTTTTCTTGGCCAGGTAGTAGTCATCCACCCGGTCAGGAGTTCCCTTGGAATCTTGCGCCAAAAAAGCCTGCCACTGGATTCTATTCCCCAGACATTGCAAGCCACATTATAAGCCTACTAATTGTGAATCTACTGGGTGATAATGTAGATACCATAAAGAAAAACACACAAACTTTAATTGACGCAAGTAAAGAGGTTGGTCTAGAAGTAAACACAGAGAAAACCAAGTATATGTTACTGTCTCGTCACCAAAATGCAGGCAAAATCATGACATAAAGTTAGGAAACAGATGTTTTGAAGATGTGGCACAGTTCAGATATTTGGGAACAACGATAACAGATCGAAACCTGATTCAGGAGGAAATTAAGAGGAGACTGAACTCGGGTAATGCTTGCTACCATTCAGTCCAGAACCTTTTGTCTTCTCGTCTGCTGTCCAAAAACATAAAAATTAGAATATACAAAACTATAATTTTGCCTGTGGTTCAGTATGGGTGTGAAACTTGGTCTCTGACATTAAGG